CAAAAACAAAACGTGATATCAATTTTTGGTCAAACCGCCCAGCACTAGACCATATTCTAACATGTCATCATGTTGATCTAACGTTATATAACATTGATTTGTTTTATGTACGTTTGCTCCCCTGTGTATTAAAGCTGTCGAGTCGTGACTCATGAAGTTCTGTCGAGTCTAAGTTAGTTGCGGACGCTAGCTGTCTGTCGAGTCCAAGTTAGCCGTGTTTAGCTCTCGGGATCTCAAAAACGTCACGCTAATGTTGATCCTCATTTTAGTTCTGCTTGTTTGTCCCAAAGTCTGCTTGCCATGTCTATGTTTGAGAGAAACGAGAACTGCGTGCCGCTAAACGTTACACACTGCGCAGTTGTCCACGTCTGTCGCCATGGTTACGTCACGGCTATGGCAGTGCGAGCGGAAACCGAGGATAGCGCGAATATTGCCTCATTGACAGGCGACATTTTTTTCTGGGACGGCCACTTATTTAAAATAGGAATTTTTCTGAAATAAGAAAATCTTTGCAGACTTTTTGGGACAACTATGGAAATATACTGTATCACAAAAAGTGATTTTTGGATATTTTATTTCAAAATTCTTACATATTGTACCTTTAATTTGTGGTTATCATGATCCGCCATGCTTATTCTGAAGTCTCACGAGATTTTGCGAGATTTCCCGTGTTCACAGTCGAGACTTGTTGAAAATCTGTTTGTGTATGTGTGTGTGCTGTCTTTGTCACACCACACACTATTGGAGCAAATCGGTTAAATCTAGCATGTTCGTCCTCGAGTTTGGAGTCTATCACATTTTGAAAATCTTATAAGATGTAAAAAATCTTTTGGTGTGTGCCCAGCAAAAGCAGAGAAGCCATTTCTCATGAAATCTCAAATCTACCAGTTTATGTAACCAATCAATGAGAGCTCAGTCATCTCCTAAACATCTTCTAACTCTCTCCTGAAACATTCGTCCTGATCTGACCGGTAACACTCGTCTGGACGCAGGAGCGTGATTGGCTGGTTATCAGCCAACCGTTGAGCAGCATTCACTCGCTTGGCAACTGGACGTGTAGCATTTACTGCTGAGTTATCTTTGCACATAGTTGGGCTTTTGTGTGTGTGTGTGTGTGTGTGTTCGCTGACGGCTTTTGATGTTGCACACTGTGTCTTATTGTCCTCACAAAACGTTAGCCGTGAGTAAGCTTTTGTTGAGTTAAGCAGGATTGGAGGTTTCCCAGAACCAGCGTGTCCAGTCCAGCCCTCACAGGACCTGATTGAGACAGCAGCAGCGTTATAATGCAGCTACTGTGCAATTATGGAGAACACCTGAGGCCGCGATGATGGACTTAATAACAGAGGAAACAAGAGATGATTTAATAAATCAGAGTTGAAGGAATAGCAGTCATGTTTACAGGATAAAGTCTTTGGGGAACGTAGCAAACCCAGACGGTTAAATATAACACAAATAAACACCGTTCTCAAATGTGTGGAATTTCATCTGTACATGACCAGAAATACATGGAAATAATGTGAAATATTATGACAATGTAAAATAGCTGTATTCTATGTGAATATATACACTCTTAGAAGAAAAGGTTCTATATAGAGCCTTAAAAGGTTCTATCAGCGCTACGTATTTGGAACCCCTAAAAGGTTCTATACACTCTTAAAAAAAGGGTTCCTCTGGGTTCTATATAGAACCCTGGGGTGCCATACTTGGTCAATAGAACCTTTTACCAAAAAAAAATGGTTCTATTATAGAACCATTTTTGAGTTCCATATATGAAGCGGGGGATGGAACAATTTCGGGTTCTAAATAGAACCATTTCTTCTAAGAGTGTACTTTATTCTGAATGTTCAACATCATTACTCCAGTCTTCAGTGTCACACGACCCTTCACTAATCACTCTATTATGATGATCTGATGCTCAGGAAATATTATCAATGTTGAAATCCACAATTTGTCATATTTTTTGGCAGAAAACCTTATTCAGAATTGTTGATAATCAACAGAAAGTCACGATAATACCAGCAGGATTCACACATGGTTGTGTGGGATAATGGAGTATCGCTGGTACCAGTTTACCTCCAGTTATCGCTGGAGTTCCCGGGGTCAAGAGGTCAACGTGAACTGGTTGCTAGGCGAACGGTTTGGGAGGAGGTAAACAATCCTGTTGCTTTGACTTTCCAAGAAAGCAGAAGAAACGAGTTTAGCACAAAGATAGGAGGTCAGCAGTTGTCTTAACCTGTGATAGATGTTCCACCACGTCAAAGTTTCACAAAGAGTTTGGTTTATTTACATCCTATGACAAAGGCAGGACTATGTGTTTTAAACGCACTTTGTCTTGGATGATCTCTCGCTGTGTGTGTGTGTGTTCAGTATGAGTTCTGCGTCTGCTGCAGTGGGTCTTACGCAAGCGGCGCTGTGTGACTCATCAGTCTTAGCCGTCCTCAAGGTCAAGCTTCTCCAAATCACAGGAATACAGTGACATTGAGCTCAGTGAGTAAATGAAGAGTCTGTGGTTATTACTGGGCGTGCGCTATATTCAGATGTGTAGACGTCATGCCGTCTCTGTCTTCAGATAAAGATTACACACACACGTATCATTCTGTGTTCAGAAGACACTGGTTCATCCACATAATTAGGGTTGGTTTTAGGATTTGAGTCTGGAGCGAGAGAGCATTACCTCTTTAAATCCGCACCACTATATTACTATATAGTCAGTCAAAAGTAGTGATTAAAGTGGTGCCAAGTCAACAGAAGAAGTTTGGTGGCACTTTATTTTACAGTATGTGTATTTACAGTGTACTTTAGAAAGTACTGGGTACACTGTTTTAACCCAACTTTGGGTCAAATATGGACAAACCCAGCCATTGGGTTAAATTTTTTAATTACATTTTAACCCAACATTTGGGTTTCCCCATATTTGACCCAAAATCCAGCATTTTTTAGGTAATGGGTTAAGGTTAGATTTAGGTGTAGGTTCAGGTTATTAGAATTACTATAAGTGCATAGTATTTGCTTGCGGAAAAGGACTGTAAAATAAAGTTCTGCTAAAGGTTTAATGATATTATTATTATTAACAGGTATTCCTAATCCTAACTCTCACTGGCCTGGCGTTTTTGACCTATGTAAATATAAATGTAATGTTTTAGTTACCACTGAAATCTCACAATTTCTCGATTCCAGTTTACGATCACAGCACAACTAACACTATCCTAACTATTATAACTTTCAAACAGTCAATAATAATAAAATAAGAGCAAATAATTACATTCAAGCAATAGCCGCTCAAAAATGTTGGGTTGTTTCACCCCAACTTTGGGTCAAATATGGGGAAACCCAAATGTTGGGTTAAAATGTAATTAAAAAATTTAACCCAATGGCTGGGTTTGTCCATATTTGACCCAATCTCGGCAATCTCGGCAAAATCCAGCATTTTTTAGGTAATGGGTTAAGGTTAGATTTAGGTGTAGGTTCAGGTTATTAGAATTACTATCATAAGTGCATAGTATTTGCGTGCGGAAAAGGACTGTAAAATAAAGTTCTGCTAAAGGTTTAATGATATTATTATTATTAACAGGTATTCCTACTCCTAACACTCACTGGCCCGGCCTTTTTGACCTATGTAAATGTAATGTTTTAGTTACCACTGAAATCTCACAATTTCTCGATTCCAGTTTACGATCACAGCACAACTAACACTAGGGTTGGGTATCGAGAATCGCGTATCGATTGGAACCGAGACTAACTTTTCGTTTTTCCCGGAATCGTTCAAAAGTTAAAATTTCGATTCCTAATTTCGATATTCACAGTCCGCCGAGCGGAAGAAGAAACCGCTGAACAACACCAACGAAGAAGCGTCTACCGGAAGTGTTGGCATGATCGCGCGAGTCGAACATGAGTAGCTTACGTCGGCGGTCCAAAGTGTGGCTTCACTTTTCTAAAAATAACGAAATCTCGGCAAAATGCAAAATTTGTGACAAAAGGAGTATTTCCTTCAGAAAGACCGTTGGTTAGAAAGGTTAGCTAAACTTTTTTGACCCTGCCTCTTAAAAGAATCGGAATCGAGAATCTTTAGGAACCGGAATCGAAACAAGTAATCGGAATCAGAATCGTTCAAATTCAAACGATACCCAACCCTAACTAACACTATCCTAACTATTATAACTTTCAAACAGTCAATAATATAATAAGAACAAATAATTACGTTCAAGCAATAGCCACTCTAAAAAATGCTGGGTTGTTTCACCCCAACTTTGGGTCAAATATGGACAATTTTTAATGACATTTTAACCCAATTTTTTGGGTTTGTCCGTATTTGACCCAAAATTGGGTTAAAACAACCCAGCATTTTTTAGAGTAAATGAATACAAGAAAATATAAAGTTATACAAACAGTGCTAGTGAACACTTTAACTGTACACAGTAAATATGTATTACATGAATGAGGCTGCTGTCACTTTAAGGCCGGAGCTCATTATAGTTTTAACAGACCGCCCCCTATAATGGGTCTTGGACCACACCCTGCACATAATGAATAAATCATATGGACAATTTTTGTCATAATTATTTCTTTATATGCCAGTTTTGAAGTAATTCATATTGGTGAGAAGTTGTCAATGGTGATCCTCCGCTGAAACTCTAGTCTGGTAGTAGTGTGTGTGTCATGTTTGATGAAGTGTTGTGGTATCTCAGCACTGGATCCCCATGAGAGCTCAGATGTGGTGTAAAGGACCCATTGATCTCGAGGTGTTGGGTTACCCGGATAGCAGAGAAGTCTGAAGTTGAGAGAGGATTTATGTTTTGAAAGTGAGTAGTGTCACTTTTTACACAGATTGCCTGTTTCTGTGGGCCCAGAACAGGATTCACGGCACAGTTTAGTGACCTTGATTCTGTAATGCTGGGTTTGTATGTTGTCTTCCTACGCCACAGTTAGCTTGCGTATGGGGAACATGTCCTGATGCCTGTGTGTGTGTGAGATGGTAACGCTGTGGTCTCTGTTGTGTGCAGGTGTAGACCCGTCTCTGCAGATAGATCACAGGATCCACACGGCGTCCCAGGCTCCTCCAGGCTCCAAGCAGAACAAGCCACGGGTGGCCAACTCACGGGATGAGCGCTTCAGATCAGGCACGAGCTTTTCCTCTGTAAACCAGATCCACAGACACTCAGATCGGGACGCTTGCAACAAACAAATGCACTTTATCACTTACATTTCTTATTTATCCGTTATTTTACCAGGTGATGTCCCATCGAGGGAGCCCTGGGGCAACAGTTACTCAAGTTACACCGAATCATGTAAACACAACAGATGTAAAACAAGTATTTAAAAGAGTACTTTGGGAAATAAAGCATAATCAATAGTAATACTTTAGTACTTTATAAGAATATTCGTATAAATTTCATTTAAATGAAACTCTAGTTTAAATTTATATTATGCAATCAGCTGATATTTAGTGTTTTTGACCCACTTTAGTAGAGTTTCATAATTCTATTGTCTTTGAAATATGGTTGAAGTTACTGATGAATGTACTGACAAACATTTATGATAACCTAACATTTCTATTTAAACTTGTTAGTCGTGTATTTAAATATATTTGTAATTACGCATTTATAATGAAGCTGTAGTTTAGTTCATTTATAATGAAATGTTGAATAACACTACAGTTAAAATGATAATCAAGCACTTTACATGTGCTTTAGTGTGTTAGTCAGCACATTAAAATAAGTGTAAAGGATGACAAAAACTATTAAAACAATGATTTAAAATGTACTTTAAAGTAAAACTTTTCATTTAACACTATTACGAAGTGTCTCTCTTTAAGTGCACTCACTGTATGTGGCCTTTTAATTCATTAATATTGTCTGACTGCAAGTATAGTTTTTTATACTTTTATGATTTGAAGTACACTAAGTAAACATTCAGTACAGCTTTTAGTTCACGTCTTTTTCACAGGGTTCAGGATCACTATTGCGTGTTTCATTATTACTGATGAACTTTTGCATGTAAATTAATATGAATGAGACATCAAATCATGTGACTTAAGCAAGCAGAGGTGTATTTGTTAGAGATCAACCTTACATTGTTCCCTTGTTTTGAAACAAAAGGCTAAGAACATCAATGCACAATATAATATAATATAATATAATATAATATAATATAATATAATATAATATAATATAATATAATATAATATAATATAATATAATATAATATAATATAATATAATATAATATAATAATATTATTCATGTCCCTGGCGAGAAGGTTATTATTGTAAGTGTTAGTTCACTTTATTATTATTATTATCCAATGGTTGTCTATGGTCGCTCTATGAACAGAACATGGGAAAATTAGGGAAATCGGCACACTTGTAGTGATGGTAATGAATATTAATCTGACCAAATTCGGGGTTGTCACGATGTCACCCTGCTTTGGACTCAGTTGCACCATTTCCCGCCCCTAGTTTGTCGTCATAGTCACTAATTTGATTTGTCATCACTGCCAGCTGTGTTATCGTTAATCACCTCATTTTTCTGTGTATTTAAGTCCTATGTTTTCAGGTCACCCCTGGTTCAGGTCTCGTTTTATGTATGGCTGTGTTTGCTTCATGTGGATTTACCCTGTGGATATATTGAATACTGTTTGAACCTTAATCTTCATCTTCGTGCCTTTTTATGCAGCATAATCGTGATAGAAGACCGGACCAAAGAGTGAAGTTTTGTATCAGTGTTTTTTTATGTTATTTCCCCATTATCGTGGACTCTCCCTCGTTCCTGTTAATCTGCCTTGAGCAGGGACATCACTCCCTCCACACACATGTGACAGAATTCCTCGCACATCAGTCGAGCTTCCCGGACAACTGCCTTTGTTCCTTCCTCTGCGTTGGACCCAATGCATTGACAAAGGCACAGTTGTCCGGGGAGGGACCTCGAGGGAGCTTCGCCACAAATGTGGAGTGGGTGCTGGCGTCATGTGGATTGTCTTTCACTGTCAGATTCGATGACGATGACACCATTCCCACTCCTATTCAAGTCTTCAGACAGAGAAGGAGTCAGCAATGAATTTTTCTGAGCTAAATATCACCATGGAGCACAGCGAGTTTTACCAGGTGTGCGAGCCGGCGCAGAGGGAGTTTGTGATGAGTGTGAGGGTGTATTAAAGAGCTCCACCCACACTCCCAGCACTCTGAACAATTGCTTTAACTTTGGAGAGGAAGAACACCAACCCCTTTAATCCCTCCCAAGCCTGTCTGCTTTATTTTGGATGAGTTTGTTCCGCCTCCTCTGCAGACTTTTTACCAGAATTGTTTGTTGTCCACCAATCCCTCTGTCCATCATCAGTCCCTTCTCCAGCCCTCAGCTATGCCTGTTACCCATCCCTCACTGTCTCCCATCAGTCCTTCAGTCCCTCATCAGCCTCCCCTCAGTGGCGCAGCTACACCTGGGCGTGGAGATCCCGTGGCTCCGTCCCCGGCCTCAGGTCCCGTTGTTCCACCTCGGCCCATCGTCCTGACTCCTTCGCCTTCAATCCCTCCTCCCTTGACTCCAACAGCAACCATCGAGCTTTCGGCTCCACTGGACTCCCTCAGACCATCAGCTACACCTGGCCTCAGCACTCTGGTACCCGATTTCCATCTCGGTGGGGTCGTCGCTGCAGCTCCTTCGTACACTCAGGGACCGTCAGCATCACTCCACTCCTTTGGCTCTCTGTCTTCACCTAGGGATCCACCTCCATTGGCTCTGTTACCTCCAGGGTAGCAGACCTTATCCCCCTTGGCTCCTCCCTCCAGTAACGCCACCAAGGGATGCCATTGTGGCTGTGGCCTGGATCCCCATTAGGCCACCCCTGCTCAAGGCCACCCTCTGGACGACACAACCATCTTCACCTCCCTGGTCTTCTCTGCCTGTCTGTCTACCTGCTCCTCTTACCAGCCCCTCTTCTGCTCCTTATACCAGCCCTTCTTCTGCTCCTCTTACCAGCCCCTCGTCTGCTCCTTATACCAGCCCTTCTTCTGCTCCTCTTACCAGCCCTTCTTCTGCTCCTCTTACCAGCCCTTCATCTGCTCCTCTTACCAGCCCTTCTTCTGCTCCTCTTACCAGCCCTTCTTCTGCTCCTCTTACAAGCCCTTCTTCTGCTCCTCTTACCAGCCCTTCTTCTGCTCCTCTTACCAGCCTTTCTTCTGCTCCTCTTACCAGCCCTTCTTCTGCTCCTCTTACCAGCCCCTATTCTGCTCCTCTTACCAGCCCTTCTTCTGCTCCTCTTACCAGCCCTTCTTCTGCTCCTCTTACCAGCCTTTCTTCTGCTCCTCTTACCAGCCCCTATTCTGCTCCTCTTACCAGCCCTTCTTCTGCTCCTCTTACCAGCCTTTCTTCTGCTCCTCTTACCAGCCTTTCTTCTGCTCCTCTTACCAGCCTTTCTTCTGCTCCTCTTACCAGCCCCTATTCTGCTCCTCTTACCAGCCCTTCTTCTGCTCCTCTTACCAGCCCTTCTTCTGCTCCTCTTACCAGCCCTTCTTCTGCTCCTCTTACCAGCCCTTCTTCTGCTCCTCTTACCAGCCCCTCTTCTGCTCCTCTTACCAGCCCTTCTTCTGCTCCTCTTACCAGCCCCTATTCTGCTCCTCTTACCAGCCCCTCTTCTGCTCCTCTTACCAGCCCTTCTTCTGCTCCTCTTACCAGCCCTTCTTCTGCTCCTCTTACCAGCCCTCTTCTGCTCCTCTTACCAGCCCTTCTTCTGCTCCTCTTACCAGCCCTTCTTCTGCTCCTCTTACCAGCCCTTCTTCTGCTCCTCTTACCAGCCCTTATTCTGCTCCTCTTACCAGCCCTTCTTCTGCTCCTCTTACCAGCCCTCTTCTGCTCCTCTTACCAGCCCTTCTTCTGCTCCTCTTACCAGCCCTTCTTCTGCTCCTCTTACCAGCCCTTCTTCTGCTCCTCTTACCAGCCCTTCTTCTGCTCCTCTTACCAGCCCCTCTTCTGCTCCTCTTACCAGCCCCTCTTCTGCTCCTCTTACCAGCCCTTCTTCTGCTCCTCTTACCAGCCCTTCTTCTGCTCCTCTTACCAGCCCCTCTTCTGCTCCTCTTACCAGCCCCTCTTCTGCTCCTCTTACCAGCCCTTCTTCTGCTCCTCTTACCAGCCCTTCTTCTGCTCCTCTTACCAGCCCTTCTTCTGCTCCTCTTACCAGCCCCTCTTCTGCTCCTCTTACCAGCCCTTCTTCTGCTCCTCTTACCAGCCCTTCTTCTGCTCCTCTTACCAGCCCTTCTTCTGCTCCTCTTACCAGCCCTTCTTCTGCTCCTCTTACCAGCCCCTCTTCTGCTCCTCTTACCAGCCCTCTTCTGCTCCTCTTACCAGCCCTTCTTCTGCTCCTCTTACCAGCCCTTCTTCTGCTCCTCTTACCAGCCCCTCTTCTGCTCCTCTTACCAGCCCTTCTTCTGCTCCTCTTACCAGCCTTTCTTCTGCTCCTCTTACCAGCCCTATTCTGCTCCTCATACCAGCCCTTCTTCTGCTCCTCTTACCAGCCTTTCTTCTGCTCCTCTTACCAGCCCTTCTTCTGCTCCTCTTACCAGCCCTTCTTCTGCTCCTCTTACAGCCCTTCTTCTGCTCCTCTTACCAGCCCTTCTTCTGCTCCTCTTACCAGCCTTTCTTCTGCTCCTCTTACCAGCCCTTCTTCTGCTCCTCTTACCAGCCCTTCTTCTGCTCCTCTTACCAGCCCTTCTTCTGCTCCTCTTACCAGCCTTTCTTCTGCTCCTCTTACCAGCCCTTCTTCTGCTCCTCTTACCAGCCCCTATTCTGCTCCTCTTACCAGCCCTTCTTCTGCTCCTCTTACCAGCCCTTCTTCTGCTCCTCTTACCAGCCTTTCTTCTGCTCCTCTTACCAGCCCCTATTCTGCTCCTCTTACCAGCCCTTCTTCTGCTCCTCTTACCAGCCTTTCTTCTGCTCCTCTTACCAGCCTTTCTTCTGCTCCTCTTACCAGCCTTTCTTCTGCTCCTCTTACCAGCCCCTATTCTGCTCCTCTTACCAGCCCTTCTTCTGCTCCTCTTACCAGCCCTTCTTCTGCTCCTCTTACCAGCCCCTCTTCTGCTCCTCTTACCAGCCCTTCTTCTGCTCCTCTTACCAGCCCTATTCTGCTCCTCTTACCAGCCCCTCTTCTGCTCCTCTTACCAGCCCTTCTTCTGCTCCTCTTACCAGCCCTTCTTCTGCTCCTCTTACCAGCCCCTCTTCTGCTCCTCTTACCAGCCCTTCTTCTGCTCCTCTTACCAGCCCTTCTTCTGCTCCTCTTACCAGCCCTTCTTCTGCTCCTCTTACCAGCCCCTCTTCTGCTCCTCTTACCAGCCCTTCTTCTGCTCCTCTTACCAGCCCCTCTTCTGCTCCTCTTACCAGCCCTTCTTCTGCTCCTCTTACCAGCCCCTATTCTGCTCCTCTTACCAGCCCCTCTTCTGCTCCTCTTACCAGCCCTTCTTCTGCTCCTCTTACCAGCCCTTCTTCTGCTCCTCTTACCAGCCCTCTTCTGCTCCTCTTACCAGCCCTTCTTCTGCTCCTCTTACCAGCCCTTCTTCTGCTCCTCTTACCAGCCCTTCTTCTGCTCCTCTTACCAGCCCTTATTCTGCTCCTCTTACCAGCCCTTCTTCTGCTCCTCTTACCAGCCCCTCTTCTGCTCCTCTTACCAGCCCTTCTTCTGCTCCTCTTACCAGCCCTTCTTCTGCTCCTCTTACCAGCCCTTCTTCTGCTCCTCTTACCAGCCCTTATTCTGCTCCTCTTACCAGCCCTTCTTCTGCTCCTCTTACCAGCCCCTCTTCTGCTCCTCTTACCAGCCCCTCTTCTGCTCCTCTTACCAGCCCTTCTTCTGCTCCTCTTACCAGCCCTTCTTCTGCTCCTCTTACCAGCCCTTCTTCTGCTCCTCTTACCAGCCCTCTTCTGCTCCTCTCACCAGCCCTTCTTCTGCTCCTCTTACCAGCCCTTCTTCTGCTCCTCTTACCAGCCCTTCTTCTGCTCCTCTTACCAGCCCTTATTCTGCTCCTCTTACCAGCCCTTCTTCTGCTCCTCTTACCAGCCCTTCTTCTGCTCCTCTTACCAGCCCTTCTTCTGCTCCTCTTACCAGCCCTTCTTCTGCTCCTCTTACCAGCCCTTCTTCTGCTCCTCTTACCAGCCCCTCTTCTGCTCCTCTTACCAGCCCTTCTTCTGCTCCTCTTACCAGCCCTTCTTCTGCTCCTCTTACCAGCCCCTCTTCTGCTCCTCTTACCAGCCCCTATTCTGCTCCTCTTACCAGCCCTTCTTCTGCTCCTCTTACCAGCCCTTCTTCTGCTCCTCTTACCAGCCCCTCTTCTGCTCCTCTTACCAGCCCCTCTTCTGCTCCTCTTACCAGCCCTTCTTCTGTTTCCCGTCCACCCCTTCCTCCCTCCTTCACCCTCTCCCTCACCTCTTCTACAGCTCTAGATCCCTCCTTCCGGGAGGGGGGCGTTATATCTTGATGTCACCCTGTTTTGAACTTAGTTGTACCATTTCCCGCAACTAGTTTGTCGTCATAGTCACTAATTTAATTTGTCATCACTGCCAGCTGTGTTATCGTTAATCAGTCCCTGTTCATTCTTGTCCGGTCTCGTTACATATGCATGTGTTTGCTTGCTGTTCTTCGTGTGGGGCAAATTCCCAGACCGAAAGAGGAACTGTGGCCAGAAATCGTGCAAGAGGCTGCATCTGTTCCAGACTCACTTTTTCCGAGTGATCTAATGATCATGCTTTGATGTAATTGTTATGCTTGTTGTACATGATGAATTTACTCTGCTTGCGGTCCCTTCGGTGCTTGGTTACTTGCAGTAAATTTTTTACAATGATATCTGTTCTGTCATATCTTATAGACATTTGGAATTTAAAAATGTAATTTTTCTGATGTCGTTTTCTGTCTCATCTAATGTTGCCACTATCTGTGTCCCCACAGACCTTCATACAGAAGCAGTACAAGCAGCCTTGTCAAAGTATAAAGAGAGAAAGATGCCAATGCCCTCGAAGAGACGCTCTGTTCTAGTGCAGTCCTCAGTTGAAGCATGCACTCCTCCAGGTAACACACACACATACATGGTATAGTGCTGGTCTAACTGGTGAAGCATTAAAATTAAAATCTTTATAATCACAATGTTTTCAAGTAAAACTGAGCTGGTTTGCTGGCCACGCATTTGACCAGCATCCTTCCCTGTTGATCCCAACATGAAGAACACACCTTACGCTGGTGACCAGCAATGCTGGGTTTTTCAGCAGGGGATGTTTTGATCTTCTGAGTCTTGAGAGAACAATGCATAGTTTTCTGAATAATAGCCTCATTATTTACTCGAAGAGATCTGCTCCTGACCACTCAGTTCCCAGACCACCTTCCCACACGCATGCATATGGAGATGTTTAACAGAGCTTTATTGACCCTCTGGCTGCATATTTTGCTGTTTGAGTATTGCATTTAGTTAACACAGAACATTTAGCTGATACAAAATGGACACTACTTTATTTTGGGGTATAAGACACTGACAACATCTTTTTTCATAGCTTTGATTATTTTAAGTGTTAACTGAATTCCTTAGGAGATGCACTTGTTCACATAATGTACGTTTTTCATATGCATTTCATTTGGTTCAGTTTTCAACGGTTTAGTTCACATTGAAATCTTTGACTTTTGATGGCAGACTTTGGTACTTTAGCAAATCTGAGCACAGTTTGAGATATTATTAAGATCTCTTTTGAAGCTCAATAGGACATGTATGTGAGATTACCAGTTCCTTTTCTCAGGAGATCAGCCTGAGAAGCAGGAGAATGAAACCTCAAGTTGCCCTCCATGTAATCATGGAGAATGCAATCATGACAATTCTTGAAAATGATGATTTAACAGGATTTTGTTGATGAGTAAAGAGTTTAGGTTGGATTAGTTTAGGCATTCGTTGCTGATTTAGACAGGTGATGCTGGGGAGGAGGAGGGACAGAAAACAGGTCAGAAATAAACAAGGTTGCAGGTAGAGATCGATTGGCTTGGAAAAAAAACAATTAGCTACCTTGAGTTTCATGCATTAAAATCGTCTGTGTTGATGTCGTTATATCAGTAAGACTATATTTGGCCTTTCACAGTTTATTTCGTTATGTCTGATGATTTTTCATGATGGGTCATCTTGTGGTCAGATAAGCTCATCTCTCACACCTCATGTGAGTGTAACGTCTTTGCTTTGTCCGTCAATATGGATTACATTATCGCAGTGTTTGTTTAACGCTAACGAGTTTCAGGGTCTTGGTGTCCGGAAACACTCTTCTGTCAGAATGATGAAGTCAGGGAAAGGTCACCAGGATTAAAGGTTCAAGGGTGGGGTCAGATCAGCATAACGGGAGCCATTCAGGGTCGCTCCCTGTGGGAATTGGTCATGGTCCGCTAAATCTTTTGTGCCCTGCATGGACGCAGTAGTAATGCACTAAAGTGGTCCGATTGCCCCGACGGAGATGATCCGATAACCCATCTGGCCTGTCGATTGCCCCACTCTCGCTTCATTCTCGAGGCGGGTCTTAAAGAAACCCCCAAATTAAAAATCTGTGGTTTATGCTTCAAACCTGCAGGACAGGACATTTTGAAGAAAAATGATGTTTTTTTACATACATAATCGGCACCTTCTAATTATGATGTCCGTGATGTAGAAAATGTTGATGAAATCAAATAATCCAGTCATAATTTATTTTTTATCATTAACATTTATCATTTATCATTAATTTACTACATAACGTGTAATTTAACAGAATTTGGCAACATTTTAGATGAATATATTACAAACATTTTTGACAATAGATTCAGAAATTCAGAAAAACTAAAACAGACATCAACACAGTTTTTCTGAACATTCAACAAGGGCTAATTATTGTAAAATATTTAATAAATCAAACATTTTTATGAATTCAATTGATTAGAAAATGTCAAAAATATTTTTATTTCTCTTAAACTTTTAATAATTTGTTGTTAAATTGCATAAATATAAAGATATTTCAAGTAAGTAGACATGCTTATAAAACTTGCCATTGATGCCACTATTAAGAAGGATTTGGGAAAAATAAATTAAATAGGCCCTTCATGTTAAAGTATGTAGTGTCTATGCTGTCAATCTCCAAAACAGAACAAAAAGTATTGTCTCTTCCTGAATCTGTGTCAAGGTTACTCCCCGAGTGCCTGAGGACATGCAGTGAGAATACAATTAATATAGTTCTAGTTTTCATAAGGCTCTTATAGATCATTAAACATGCTTTTTTTTGACATTCTGATCAGCAAAATTGTTTTAGCTCCAAAATATACTGGATAACTATTTCTATATTCATAATTAATTATTCACAATAGTGTTATAATTATTATTCCTGTGATGTTCAGCATCATTACTCCAGTCTTCAGTGTCAGAAATCACTCTAATATGAGGATCTGATGATCAAGAAACACTTATGACTGCATTTATTTGAAATAGAAATCTTTTGATCAATTTATTGCATCCTTGCTGGATAAAAATATTAATTGTCTTACTGACCCCAAAATTTGAACGGTAGTGTGTCACTTAATTTGTGTATATTGATATTTATATCATATTGATCTTAGGCTTTGTTCTTTAAGTCATCGTCTGCATCATCTTCATAACAAGAAATGCTTGAGTTTTATAATGTGATGTTTGCTGGTTAGCGTTGAGTTGTGTGTATCAGACATGTATCAGACACACACACACACACACGAGTGGAGGCAGATCCTTCTCCTTCATCAGCACACACACACACTAGGATAATGCTTTTCATGTTTAACGCATGACTGTTTGCTGCTCAGTGTCTGTCTCCTAATTGTCTGGACACGCTGTAGTAATTGCTCCCTGCGGGTGATTAAGTGCATAATTAATGTTAAACAGATCTGCGATACCCACAGGCGTCCGCCAGTCCGCCTCTCGCTCCTCTGCCCGTCTTTTCTCTCTTCATTTCTTTGTGTTTGATGATGAAAATAATCACTGTAAAAAATATTTTCAAGATTTGTGATCACAACATATTTTCTTTTGTCAAATCAACTTATTTAGTTGAGATAACTTATTATTTTGAGTTTCTGATGGTTAAATTAATCTCCTTCATTGTATTAACTCACTTTTTCCAGTTTAATCAACTTAAAATTTTAAGGCAACCCAGGTTACTTACTTTTTTTAAGTTAAACCAACAATATTTTTTTACAGTGAACATTTTTTCTTTTGTCAAATCAACTTATTTAGTTGAGATAACTTATTATTTTGAGTTTCTGATGGTTAAATTAATCTCCTTCGTTGTATTAACTCAATTTTTCCAGTTCAATCAACTTAAAATTTTAAGGCAACCAGGTTACTTACTTTTTTATGTTAAACCAACAATATTTTTTTTACATTGAACATTTTTTCTTTTGTCAAATCAACTTAAATAATTTATTTAGTTCAGATAACATATAATTTTGAGTTTCTGATGGTTAAATTAATCTCCTTCATTGTATTAACTCACTTTTTCCAGTTCAATCAACTTAAAATTTTAAGGCAACCAGGTTACTTACTTTTTTAAGTTAAACCATCAATATTTTTTTTGCAGTGATACGATCAACATTGAAAAGCAACTTTTATGGAATGTAAGTAATAGAGTATTACATTAAACGTCATTTAGCAACTCGTTTCAAACGGTTTTATTTAAACCGTGTGACTGATATTACTATAAACACTATGACTTTTGGACAAGAAATACCATTTAAAAACCTCACAATTCGTTCTATCATATATCATATCTATCATAGCTGTCTGTTCAGAACGTCTAAACATTCAAATGTAAATGGACTAGCAAACAGCAGATCATCACTGTTAGACCTTACCAGGTTTTTTTACAGTAAAATACACTAAAACTAATAAGTTGTATTTTTTAGTTAACATGAGTTTTAGTGCATTTTTACCGTAAATTTTACTGTTCAAAACCTGGTAAGGTCTAACAGTGATTATTGGTAATGGGTTAATGATGATTATAATTTTCTAATAGAGTTCATTAATCATGAATTCATTATAATCTCTTTTAAATGTCTTTTCCTCTCTGTTACACTCTTTACGCCACAGCACAGTTTGAGTGATGAAATAGTACAAGGTTGAGCTGCATATTTTATTCATTAATTGTCGGACATCTGTTATTTTCTGTGGGGTAACATTCATGATGTATTTATAATAGGGATGGTGATGTCATCATAACTGCGGGCCTCACATGCTCTGCCTCTGACCACATGAGCATTACATCATATGTATTTCCCCTGGCAGATCTCACCAAAGTCATATTTGGGTCTGGACTGAGAACTTTCTCTTCCGTAGCGCTCATATATCAGTCCTCTTGGAGTTTATGATGGACGCTTTGAGAAGTTTATATTCTGAGGACATTTGACCGTACGTCAGTGGCCCCAAAAAAGCGTATGATTAAGTCAGACTCGGGGTCCTGTTATAGACTTAAAATAGGAATGTTTTTATGCATTTTCACTGTTCATTTACACGACAACGGCGTTTTGGGGGGGGTGAAAACTCACACTTTTGAAAATGAGCTTTAAAGTGCAAGTCTTTGAAAGCGATACCGTTATGGTCAGCAATATCTATAGATACTGTTTCTTTACAAAGTTTAGTTACACTTTATTTTAAGGTGTCATTGTTACAGTGTAATTATTATACATTGAAGTTCTGAGTAACAACATGTATGTACTATAGGGTTAGAGTAGGATTAGGGTTTGGTTGAGGGTTAGTTGCATGTAATTATGCATAATTTACTGTTATTACTATGGTAAGTACATGTACTGTAACATATGTAACAAGGACACTGTAAAATGAAGTGTTACCCAAAGTTTCTTTACAAATATCTGTGTGAACGGGGATCATTTTGAGAACGTTGTCGTGTGTACACGAAAATCGTCTGTACACGTTTTTTGTTGTTGTTGTTTTTTTGCAACCCAAGTTGGATTTAAATTAAAGAGAACTTGTCAAGCAAAAAAATAAGTGAATTGATAAAAAAATACATTTATTCTTCAAAGTGAAGATGGAAATACTGTAAATTAGGGCTGTGCAAAAGTTAATTGCGATTAATCGCATCCAAAATAAAAGTCTGTGTTTACATAATATATTTGTGTGTGCTGAATATAATTATTTTGTATATATAAATACACACACATGCATGTATATATTTAAGAATTATTTGCGCTTAAATTCTGCATATATTTATAAAAACATAATCTATATTGTATAAATATAAATATTTTATATACGAATAACACATTTTCTTAAATATATACATGCATGTGTGTGTATTTATATATACAAAATAATTATATACAGCACACACAAATATATTATGTAAACACAGACTTTTATTTTGGATGCGATTAATCGCAATTAATTTTTGCACAGCCCTAAAATAAATGTGACACTGCTTGTGACAAATTACTGGATCAGATTAATAAAGTGATCCTCTAGGAACTTAAAGTCCCTAGTGAGTTAAAGAGTTAAAGGGATACTCCACTTTTTTTTTGGAAATAGGCTCATTTTACAACTCCCCCAGTTGAGTTTTACAGTTTTCGAATGTATTCAGCCGATTTTTTGATATTTAGAAGAATATCAGTAACCAGACAGTTTCTGGTCTCATTGACTTAAAACGAAAAGTCGAAAATGGTGAAACCCAACTGTTTAACTCTGGGGGAGTGGTAAAATGAGCCTATTTCCAAAAAAAGTGGAGTATCACTTTAAAGTCCCCCTGTAGTCGATGATTTTATCCCTTAAGACTCATTTTTAATCACCAAAATTACATATTTAAACGTTTTTTCCTTGAAAATAAAATTCTTCACTCTTTTAAATATCTTGAATGTAACTCGACACCCTTGCCTCATTTAGTATGCGTGGTTCTATTAATATGCAAATGAGCCCCGCCTCCACTCAGAGATCCACTGGTTGTCGATCACACGTTGATCTGATTGGTTACAAGGTGGTTTGTGACGTCAGAAACACCAGCGATTTCACAGCGTGTCTTTGGTTCACTGCAGTTTTACTCAGCAATGCTGTCCACTTATCAACTTACACATGGTGTGTGTTAAAGCAGATTAAAAACACCACATAGACTGATAAACAACATTAAAAGCTGGATTTTCACCACAGAGGGACTGTAAAAATCACCAATCAGACACTGAGCAGAAGTGATGAGGAAAAGGAAAGTGCCCGTGTTGTCCTCTCACCCGCTGTCCCTGCGCTCACAGACACGTCGTCGGCCTCAGAAGACGAGGGGTCGCTGCGCCGGCAGGGTCGGATCTGCTCCTCGTCCCCGTACCAGGCGCACCCGAGCGTGGAGCACTGGTTCAACAGGGTCATCCAGGGCTCGTCCACCTCCTCGTCCGCCTCGTCCACCTCATCACACCCCGGAGGAAGAGCCCAGCACTCCAACGCCACCTCTGCTTCAGCCGCCACCGTGCTGGCCGACCTCATGGCTCACACACAGCTGGGTCAGTACTGAACACACACTCGTGGCTCACACACAGCTCGGTTAGTTAAAGGTGTGGTATAATGCCCTTTTTATACGATGTAAAACAAGTCTCTGTGTGTGTGTGAAGGTTTAGCCCAAAATACCCCAGAGATATTTTTATTGCATGTTAAAATTGTCCTTTTTTGAGTGTGTGTCACTTTAAATGCAAATGAGCTGCTGCTCCCGGCGCAGGGGGCGGAGCTTCAGGAGCTCCTTCTTATCAGAGCAATATAGTGGCATCATAACAAGACCAGAACAACACAACTACCGTACAAAGAAAACAGGAAACTAAGGCATGAAACACAATTAAAGTCCTTCCTGTTTGGAAACACAATAAAAGTCCTTCAAATAATTGTGAATTTGGAATATTAACATTATTTCAGTTGATTAAATATACAGTCCCCACCAATTATTATTATTTTTAAGTTAATCTGTTTAAACGTATTAACCCTTGTGCTGCATTAGATTTTTAACACCGTTGAGTGCAAAAATGGCCACATATTAAACATTGCCTAAAATATTATATATTATTATTATTTTCCACTTTTACCAAGTTAAATCTTTTAATCAGCATCAGTCCTCATCATAACTACCAAAAATGTATTCAATTTCAGGATTTTAACCCTTTAATTACCAGTTTTGTTTGCGAAACCATCGATTTGTATAAGAGGAAAAAACACAAAAATTCAATTATTTTCAATAAACTAAATGCAAAGAGAAAACTTTAGATTTGGATTATCACAGTCCCACTTTGCAAAAAATCCCACTTAGCGCGTTAGAGACCAAAAATGGCCACCTATTAAACATTGCCTATTGCCTTAAATAAGGTGCATTTCCACCCATAGGGAATAAATATGTAGTGACGTCATCTGGTGGAATACACTATATAATGCAAATATAATGCTTTTGCTTCAAAATGAAAGGATGTTTGTGCAAAAATCATGTTTCATGTATTACTGACAGGCTCAGATTTAAACAACGTTTTAATGGGTTTCAATGGGCCATTTTTGGTCTTTATGGTGCTGAGTGTTACTATTTGATCTACACAGTGTGTGTTATACATATTTTGCAAAATGGGATCACATTTTTTACATGTATCCAAAAAGTCACAATTTTGCCAAATTTCATACCATTTGCATTAAAACAGCCAAAATGGTCAAAGAAATTAAACTGCAAAAGACCAAAAATGTCCCTAATGCAGCATAAGGGTTAAATAGGTTTATAAGTTTAATCTGTAAAACTAATGATGCGACCGTATTTTTCACTGTAAAGTTCTGGCGTCCACTCCTGCCCGTTTCTATGCCATGGTGCTTTTTCTGAGCCTGGCATCCTCTAGTCACTGTTTGCTTTCAATGTATGAACAAGAACCCAATCGAGCGAAGTTCTGAACGGCATGAGAGCGAGTAATATCATAACTGCAGAACATATTCAGTGTACTCGACTGCTGCCGGTTGGTTAGTGGTGTGTGTGTGCGGCTCTTCTGTCGAGTGTGGAGATGGACGGGACACACCACATGGAGTTAGGAGGACAAGTGACAGAGAAAGCAACAAAAACACAGCGAATCATGACGTATTTGAGTTTTGGACCAATGAGATCTCATGGCAGGCAGTCACATATTTATAATACACGCTGAAAGTATGTGCTTTTTTTTTGTGCTTTTTTAGATGATTTTTTAATTCAGCTCACTCACTGTTCGGGTTGGGCATCGTTTCAATTTTAACGATTCCTAATTTCAATTCCAATAAGGAAAAAAAAAAACACCTTGGATATCATTCACTTAGTCTTAACATTTAATAATGGCTGAATATCATGAACAGAAATCAATAAGATACATTTCAAGCAGATAATTAAAGTCAGCAATTAAAACAAACAAATGAAGAGTTCAGATGCAAAAGCCTCTAAGTGCCATTTGAAATTTTCTTCTAGAATGATAATTTTTATCAAGCTTGTATATTTAAATTCAGTGATTTCACTTAAATGACAATTTATAGGTAATCTTCATCCCCATTTAAGTAAAAGTAATTAACTAATATACAAGCTTGATAAAAATGATCGTTCTAGAAGAAGATTTCAAATGGCACTTAGAGGCTTTTGCATCTGAACTCTTCAAATACACAACTAAATAAATATATTACTGAAATAAATAGTGTTTTAATATTTTCAGGTGTTCAGGGAGAGAAACTGTGATCAAATGTAAAACAAAACCACTTTATAACTAAAATATACATCAAAAATATAGTTCGAAAACTTATTCAGTGGAGAACGAGTGTATTTTGTCGTTTGGTGTTATTATAGAGGCGGCTGCAGGAACGTTAGGCTACTGTCACTTTAAGAGCTGCACTATATACTAAATCACGCCTGCCGCTCTGAAAACAGCATGAAACATTAAACCTCGAATGGTTTAAAATCACATTATTATCACTGTTTCTGTGCGCATGTTTGGATGTGTGTGTGCAGCACATAAAACAGTGTCTTGCATTTGTTGAATTTTATTTCAAGCATTCGATTCCCAACCCCATCCCTGTCATTTCACGCCACCCCACATATGATCAATATAATAATTCCTCATGGGTTTGATCCCAGAGCACCATGCATTGCTGTATCTTGACCTCCACTCACCTTTGACCTCTGACACCTCATGACAGACGGGCCCAGCGCGCCGCCGGATGTGACCGGCCTGTGGGAGCGCTCGGTGCATGAGGAGCGTCCACAGGTGGCGTCGGTGCGAGGGCTTCCCCGCGGACACACACACACCAGCGTCCTGGAGACGGCCGACGGTGAGTCACACACACACTCACACACCTCTCTGTCCTGTCATCTCATCTCTCCACTGCATACTGACACACTGGTGTGTTTAGCTCTGCTCCAAACCCTACAGATCGGATCTGACGACACTTCATTCCAATGCAGTTTGACTAATTGTAATGTTGTTAAGAAGAAGTGCGCTAAATTGTATTGAATATGCACTTGTAGTCTTCAAATGTTAAAAGTATGTTTTTATTAGTGCTGGGCAATGATTAATCACATCCAAAAAAAAAGAGTTTCTGTTTAATGTGTGTGTACTGTGCATAATTATTTTGTATATATATAAATAAAAACACACATGCATGTATATATTTAAGAAAAATGTGTAATTTATATATAAAATATTTATATATATATATATAAATGATGTGTAAATATATATACAGTATATATATGCAAATACTTCTTTAAATATATACATGCATGTGTGTGTATTTATAAATACAAAATAATTATGCACAGCACACACACATATATTATGTAAACATTCTTATAAAACTATGCTTATAGATAATATACTACTAATGAAATAAAAGGTCTCTTAAAACGGGACACTATCATATTCAATATATATACACACAATATTAATTGCGACAATGATGTCCATTACATTCAGTTCACACTTAAGTTTATTACTTTAAAATATAGTATTTCTAAAGTAAGTACTCTTTTTAATAGTATGCTTGAATGTACTTCTTTTTCACTGGGCGTAACATATTTAATTTCTGATTTCTGTCAACTGATCCCACACTTACGTTTTCACTCTAAAGCTGGAGGCTTTGGATCAGAGCTAATGAGATGCATTTACAGTTCATATTGAAACCTAGGGGAGAGAGAGAGTCATATTTCTGGCTGTTTATTGGTCTGATCCTGCTTGCTCAAGCCAGATATTATGATGTCATCAGCATGTTTTGTTTTTTGTGGGAATAATTCACTAAAAATGAAAACGCTGTCATCATCTCCTCACCCTCATGTCTCTTTTCCACCCATCAGACTTGGTGCTGATAACGTCACTAAGAACTGATGTAGTTTGGTACCCGAGTCACCGTCC